CTCCAGCCCCAGGAAGCCAAGCGACAACATAGGTGTGCTAAGACCCCTATTCTCCCTCCGCCTGCTCCAATATAGTGTTAGTGAGTGTTGATGAGGTGTATTCCATGGCTGTGGTGAGCGGGCAGTGCGGGAATCGCCTGGCCTATGCCAGCTGATGCCACTGCACCACCCCACTTACACCCACAGCCCTCAGTGTCTAAGTGCAGTTTAAAATTAGAAGTGGGCACCGGCACTTGGGATGAGACTGATAAATCCCCCTGCCAAGTGCTGTTGAATGTGCTCACTCCCAAGGCCCTAAGTGTGTGTTTGCGTGGAATGTCGTCAGTGGAAGTGTATAAGGTGCAAATAAAAATGGGGGGCAGGTTGCCACAGGAATGCGGAAATGGGGTCCATACCCGCACTCCCTGACTTGTCCACCCCCCAAGGTCCTATGTGCATGTTTGTGTGATGATGTGAGAGAGCAGGAGGAGAGAAATATGCGGGGATGGGGAGGAATAGCTGGTTGGTCTTAGCCCTCCAGGGAGCCAGCTCCCCTACTGGCCCCAATAGGCACCTCTGTGTCAGACTGCCACCCAGGGCATGGAGACCCCAGCCCATCCTGCCAGGGCCCAAAGCAGCAGCATCACAGAGCCTCACAGAGTCTGAGGGCACCAACGCAGCCCCACCCCAGCAGAATATCTATGTCCATCCCTGCATTTGCACAACTTCCAGAATATATAAAACATAGAACATCCAGGTAAGCTTGGGTCCTCCCCCTCCTGGACATCCCCCTCCCCTGTGGTGTGACAGCAGAGGAGCCAAGGTCTACCCAAGGCCCCTGACCCCAAGTCAGGCACTGCTGCATGTTCCTGCCTTCTCCCCGGCAGCATACATGTCAGAACCCGACCCCAAAGGCCCCGCCCAGATCCCCCCACGGGGCCGGCCACCCCGAGCCCCCAGGCCCCCACCCAGACCCGCCCAGGGGCAATGCAGCTGCTGGGCAGCAACCCATGGCCGCCACCAATACCTCCAAAGGGCCCTTCTCACAACCGCCAGTAGTCCACCCCCGAGTCAACCCAAGCACCTCCAGAGGGGGGCAACGGCCCCCCAGTCCCAGACACCCCCAGTGAACCCACCTCCAAGGAATACATCAATGTAGCTTTTTACCACTAACTTTGTTCTTTATAGTAATACTTGAAGGATGTGTGTGTCACCAGACATAATGTTATTAGTTCCTTTCTGTGACTCCCAACATCATCCTGACTTAAATCCACCACAGATGCTTGAAGGCTGATACCTCTGAAACATTCTAGAAGAGTGAGCTCAGCTGAGTGCCCATGTGGCTGAGATGTGGTAGAGTGGTGGAGGGCATGGTTATCACCGTGATGAGTGTCTGGATGGGGAAGAAAAACAGAGACGATCAAGGAGAGAAAGAAAGGAAGGGAGAGAGAGAGAGATTATCTCAACCATTGAGCAGTGCTAGAGAGCGGTTGAGAGGGGAGGATGAGTGTTTTTACCTTGAATGAACACATCCCAGTTATGGGCATCTTGTAAAGGTTTACAAGCATTACGACATGAACAGTAAAAACCCATCAGACCCTTTAAAGTTAATGGAAACAAAGTGAAGCCACCAGAGAAGCTCCGGATCACATTTGAGTTATGACAGCAGAGTCCTCTGCAGTCTGACGGAGTTTCATGGTTTGATTGGTCCAGACAGACTTACGGAGGTCTGTGTGGTCCCGTAACTCACAAACCCCGGGAAAACGCTGGAGGAACCTCATACTTGTCTACGTAGGAAGAGTAATGTTCTGGAGCTGAAGAGACGTGTTGATTGTTTGTCCTAATCATGGATTAAACTGGATGCTCTGGTTGGTTTAACGTAGTAAAGTGAGCTTATTCTGACAGTAAAATTACATAAAAATAATAACATGGAATACACGATCTAATAATAAGGCCTTTCAGCTTTACTAAGACATGGTAAAAGGAGATGAAAGATTTCCTTCAACGGCTTCAGTCTCAAAGGTTCTTCATGCAAAACACAGTTTAGATTGTTTCCATCACAACGTTTGAACTGAGTTGATCATCTGGAGCAGCCACAGCTTTAGAACATCAGGATGTCTCCGCTGAGGAAACGGATCAGGTTTGATTCATCCCAGGAGCAAACGCAGTGCAGCCAGCAAATAAAGCCACGGTGGGATCAAAAGGAGCAAACAGGTGATGGTTCGATACACCATCAGGATACACATAAAATAAATGAAGACCAGAGCTGTAAGGTGGAATGATGCGTCCTGAAATGGATACCACACGTGGAATTCTGATATGGATGAATTAGGAGAGGTACCAGCTAGTTCAGGAGGAAGATTCCTAACGGGCTAAAAGAATCTGCAGAAAGCAGGACAGAGGGGACTGGTCCTCTTGTTCAGACTGGGCAGGTTTAATGAACATCTTCATAATTATGTGCTGCATGCTCCTTGACCCGAGTCTTTAGTGGGATTTATTAATGAGAGCGTCCACCTGAGCATGACTGCTGCTGAGTTTCTACTGATCCACAACCTCCAGCCCCTGATCAATAATCACTCCTGGCTAGAGGAGAAGACTGGGACCCTGATATTAAAACCATCGCTCTAGTTTTGGTCACGTTCATCTTCAGGATTCCATAAAATCGCTCACCACCATGGATGTTGCTCACCAGCCTGGCATCGGGGTGGGCAAACCTCTTCAGTGACTTTTATTGGTACTTTAGAACCAAATGCAGACTGGACCTGAGGGAGCAGGGTAGGTGTGTGACTGGGATCGGCCTGGCCCGGCGTCGTTAGTCTACTGGTTTTAGAGCCGGTTACACAGATGAGCTGTCGGCACAAACACTCGTGTCAGGTGGCCGACCCGGAGTTCCTGCCGTTCTGTCATTCTCCAGAACTCACAGATGGCCAGTCTGTCCCCGTGGATGTATTTAACAGTGGGTCTACTCCAGGTCTGCATCTCGCCGTTCCAGAAGCAGCTTTGTAGCTTCTACAGACTTCAGGTTAACCAGAGCGCTGTGCATGCTCTGTGTTTGTGGCCGGCTTTGGCCCTGCAGACGCCGGCGTCGCCGGTGCACTCAGACAGATGGCCTGAACCAGGCTCTTAAACCCGTCTAGAGAGAAAAGTGAAGCTTTAGCTGTGATGTTGGATATCACAGAGAGCAGTTGTTTGGCTCTATTCTGAAGTTGTTTATAACACACGTTCATCTCAAGCTGCGCCCGGGGAAAACGTGAAATGCTGATATTCCTTTGTTTTAGAAAAAGCTTCTGCTTTAGACTCAACATGCTGTGTGAGCAGAGCAGACACTACACAGGGGGCTGTGTGTGTGTGTGTGTGTGTGTGTGTGTGTGTGTGTGTGTGTGTGTGTGTGTGTGTGTGTGTGTGTGTGTGTCCATGACCTGTCTGGCCTGGAGGTGGTGTGTGTGTGTGTGTGAGAGAGATAAGCTACTTTACTCCCTCTTACTGTCATCACAACCAAATATTCACCTGCCAGATTCCCACAGGAACTCATTTGCTCTTGTCTGGCTGAAGGAATATTGTGACTGCAGCGAAATGGAAGAAGACCTGCGCAGGTCAAAGCGTGTCCTGTGAGCCGTCCTGTGATACTGTGCTGTGTTATGTCGTCAGGTACCTGGCCAAGCTGTCATCAGTGGGAGCATCAGGGAGGAGGAGACCTGTGAAAGGTTACGAGGCCTCATTCAGAAACAGGTGAGCGGAGGTGACGGGCGTTGTGTTGGCGTTAGCGCCGACCTGTCCACATTCACCTGTTGATGGTTTGGACCTTTCCTGTAGATTTAAACAATAGTAGGGAAGCGATCACCTAGGGTGGGCGATAGGGTATAAATGACCATATATTGAGGATTTCACCTCGGTAACGATAAAGGTGAGCGCAGAAACAAAAGTGGTCCACTAGAGGGGGCTGTTACGTTGAGTCACATTTTTACGTGACTGAAGGTGCTACAGCTCCTTAAAGGCTGTTGCCGACCTTCACATGTCTTTTCCTTCTTAATTATCAGATTTATTGACTTGGGGAAAATGATCTCGATAAGAGTCAGAAATTTCGATGACGATAAATTTTCGATTTGTGGCCCAGTCCTACGGTAACCATCTGCTTGAATATTGTTTATATGTGTTTCTGTGATTTAGTGAATCTGAATGCCTGATGCCTTGTTTACCAAATACAAGCTCATGCTTTCTGTGACTGAGGAAAGTGTGTTCTTTCTTAAATATGATCGGCCTCTCCCAGCTGCACACACATGCTGCAAGTGAAAATGTTCTTTAAGCCATTCATGCGTTAGCCTCAGAGAAGACCTGGAGGGGGAAAGGATCTGGTCAGAAAAGCCCGGTTTCTTCGACAGCAGCAGCGTGACTCGGATGGGTTTGGTTTCTACAGCTTTTCAGGGCCTGCTGCACTGCGGTTGCCTGTCTTTTTGTTCTTCTGCTCCTTAGCTACACTTCTTTATGCACGTGTTACCAGCTGTATGGACAACAAGGTCTCCAGTGAAACCTGTACGAGAACGATATGTGTGATGCAGAGTTTGGTGTTGTTTCCAGGTTCAGATCTGTAAGCGCAGTGTGGAGGTGATGGATGCAGTGCGGCGTGGGTGGGGCACAGCTCGCCATAGACGAGTGTCAGTTTCAGTTTCGTAATCGTCGCTGGAACTGCTCCACTCTGGAGACCATGCCTGTGTTTGGCAAAGTGGTCACCCAAGGTAGGACCATACATCTCTGCATCTCCAGAACAAATGGGAACAACAACATGAGTTTAAAACGTGTGGGTCTAAGTTCATGAGCTTTAGAATTTTTCTGTAAAAGGTTTAGCGTCCCATTCCTAAATTCCTTCTTTGGGTGTCTCTTAAAGACTTCAGAATTGTATTTATGTTCATTTACAGAAAACAATGACTGCATGTGTGTTTGTTGTTGTGTGTTAGGGACTCGTGAGGCAGCCTTTGTGTACGCCATCTCAGCAGCCAGTGTGGCGTTTGCGGTCACTCGGGCCTGCAGCAGTGGAGAACTGGAAAAATGTGGCTGTGACCACAATGTGCATGGAGTCAGTCCAGAGGGTAGATCTCACAAACACATGGAGCGTTAACACAGAAGCCCACATTTCTATTTAAAAACAAAACAATATAATGTGACATTTAAAACTACATGCCCTCAGCGCAGACACAGTTACTACCTTTTCTTTACTTCATTACCTTTTCCAGCGTTAGGATCACTGCTTTGAGCCCGTGCTTCAAGTAATCACCTTCTGTCCGGATGTGTGTTCACAGGCTTCCAGTGGTCAGGCTGCAGTGACAACATAGCATACGGCGTGGCCTTCTCACAGTCGTTTGTGGATGTGAGAGAGCGGAGTAAAGGCCAGTCCTCCAGCCGGGCTCTCATGAACCTGCACAACAACGAGGCTGGGAGAAAGGTAACTGTGTGTGTGTGTGTGTGTGTGTGTGTGTGTGTGTGTGTGTGTGTGTGTGGGTGGGCAACTTGCACTTTAAACTTCCGAAGCACTTTCAATCACAGTAACTTAAACCAAACTCTTTAAAAGCACGTTAAAACTTAACCGGAACACTTCAAATCACAAAGCACAAAAGAAGAATAACAGATCAAAGGTAAAATTGAATATCTAACGATCTGTTTATGCGTGGCCACAGCTCAAAACAAATTAGATATTACAATGAAAGAAACGGAACTCACTTCAGTTGTCCGATGGCGTTTTTGGTACGGAGAAGGAAAGCCGACTGTT